ACTTCCCGAAGGACATTCTGAATCGAATGAGACCAAATTTGGAAAAAAGTATGTGTGTGTGTGTGTGAACAGATTTTTTTCCGTAAATCGACGTTTTCTCAAAAACGGCTGGATCGATTTCAAAAATTTAAAAGCCATTCGATGTATCTCGTTTAGCGTTTTTCAGTCTTGTGCGACGATCGGCCGGGCCGTTTCTTTGTAAATCGCAGAAAAGTGAAAAAAAATTCGTCCACGTTTTAGCCTGCAATTCTGAATCGATTTTGAAAATTCAAAAACCGTTCGATAGATATTAATTGGGAATCGTGCTGATTAGTTTTTGGTACAAATCGGCCGGGCCGTTTTCTTGTAATAAAGTTTTTTTTTAAAAAAAATCGACGATTTTTATGATTTTTTTGGCGGTAGATACCATAGTCTTGTAGATCTTGTAGATCATACTAAAATATTACGGCCCTACGACAAGTCGTTTAATTTTAAAAAATTGTCAAAGCTTGCAAAAATTAGTATCGTTTCTTTGACATTTGACCAAATTATACCTTTGATCGACGTTTTCTCTAAAACGGCTAAACCGATTTCATAAATTTAAAAGCCATTTGATGTATCTCAATGATGACTTTAAATTGTCAGTGAGGCGATCTGCCGAGCCGTTTTTTTGTAATTTGAAAAGAAGTGTTAAACTTTTTGTCCACATTTAAGCTCAAACTACCGAATCGATTTAAAAAAATCAAAAACTGTTCGAAAGTTATTAGTTGGGAATGATACTGATTAGTTTTAGGTGAAAATCTGCCGCGCCGTTTTCTTGTAATTAACTGTTGAAAAAAAAAATTTAAGACGATTTTCATCGAACTTTTTTTGGTGATATATATCAGGGGTCGGCAAGCTTTTAACTGTAGTGTGCCAAGCCACTCTACCAATATGTTTTAGAGTGCCGCCTTAATTTTGAAATATATAGTTAGGTTCTAGGGGAGAAGCATTATAACCAAATTTATCTTTTAAACATATTTATTAACAAATAACATGAATTTCTAATATAAACAGTGCCCGATTACCCCAAAGGCCCGTGAGACCCGGTCCTAGGGCGGATAATTTAGGGGGCGGCAAATTTTTCAAAATGTAAAAATTTTAAACTCGATGAAATGACACGACAATTCATTTTAAGGATAGATCCTGAATTTTTTTTGTAAATTTAGAGATCATTTTCGATCAAATTTATTATTCGTGGGTGCCGCATTGATATTTTCTTGATGTATCATATTATCAACTTCAGGAAGGCTAAGTTATAATAATCCTAAAAAATAAGTAAATAAAATTGTTTATATATATCTACGCTTCAAGTTCTCCTGAACATTTTGACATGCCTTAGAAAAAATGGATGTATGCATGTGTTTATGCGGTTACAATTTTTTGCCAATTGGCATCCGGGAAGACGTGCTGATTAGTTTTTTGCAAAGACAGTTTCGGAATAGGGAGCAAAGAGTTGAAAAAATGCTAATTCAATTTTTCAAAAACGAAGCGTCCGATTTGAATAATTCAAGACACTTTTTACTTGTATGACGAAATAAGAAAAATCGAAAATTTTGCGAGAGCATGGTCAGCGTTTTTGGTGATCCAAAAAGGTGTCATTTGGTGATAAAAAATGATCATTGACATCAAATTATTAGATTTTTTATAAAAAAATTAATAATTATTACAAATTTTGTCTTCATTATTTTGAATCATTCCGTACCAAGATTTTTAATTTTCAAAGTTTACTTCTTAGATAGTTTAAATGTCCTTTGCATGAATGATTCAAAAAATATTCGCTTGGCTTTGACTGAGAGGCGTACTGTTTATGCAGGCAGGTTTAGCATTTTTGGAGATACAGAGCGCAGAAGGCGCAAAAGTGGTCATGAAGGTTTTGGGAGTACAGATCATTCGATTGGAATGACTCAAAAAATATTTTGTTTGTGGTATTTTAGTGATATGAAGAAATGATTAGTTTTCCGAAAAGGCAAGTCCACTGGTTTCAAAATTTTGAGAAAATTAAAATATTCAAATAATCGAATTATTTTAGAATTTAAAAAAAAAAACTCGAAATTTTTGAATATATCGGTTCTATTTATCGAGTTTAGTCCAATGTCCAATGTCTTTTTAATTTGTGAAACCAGTTCAGGCGTTTTTGAAAATTAAATTTTGATTTATCACATCACAAAAGCGCCTTTTAACACAAATTTTGACTATGAAGTTGTGGCGTCTCCTTCAAACTTCGATGAATTTTTAAAATTGTCAAATATTTTGACTCCTAATTGATATCTTTCAGAAATCGGTTTCTGGCTTTATTCCAAAAACGTAATATTTTTGCTTTTTTATGCTAATTTGAAACAACCGGCTCGTCCCATCGTTCCTCAAACATAATCAGTCCGGCAGGTTTTTGCCAAAAACTAATGAATACGATTTCCAACCAAGATTTTTCGAATGGTTTTTGAATTTTTAAAATCGACTTAAAATTATGGGCTAAAACTTTGACGATTTTTTTCTCTCTTTTACTAATTACAAAAAAAAGCATTCCTTTAGTACAAGTAATTTTTTTTTTAATTATTCGGAAACCAGCCTCTCGGTTCTTTCAAAAACTGAATTGCAATTTTTGCACTTTTGTTCTGTATTTTCTAAACTCTTTCTTCGCTAAACCTGTCTTAGCGAAAAACTAATCAGAACTTTCAATTCAAACACACATCAATTTTTTTTAAGGTATGCCAAAATGTTTAGAAATGTCTGAAACGTAAAAATATGCAAAATTTTCATTTTCGATCTTTTGCGATTACTATAACTTACGAGTATTTTACGCAAAGTTAAAAGTTGTATTTAAGTAATTTAGAATAAAATTATAGTTTAATTAAAAAAGTAAAAAAATGTCTGTTAAAAAGGGAGCCTGATCAGATAGGGCCTAAGGCGGCAGAAAGCTTAATCCGTCACTGAATATAAACTAAACAACTTTAATGCGAACCTTGTGCCTGCACATTTTTCCTTAACATTTCAATATCCGGGCTATAATTTGTAACTTTTAATTTCACACAAGATACTGAATGTTTAGTTGTTAAACGATTTCTTTGTAAACTCAAAATATGTCTCATGTGAGAAAAAAATTGTTCACAGAGATATGTGGAACCAAAAGCTGAAAGGAGAGCGCATACAATTTTCTTTAAACAATTAAATCTTTTCCGGCAATGTCATTCAACAATTTAATAAGGCTGTCAATTTTTCCATAGAGTCATCTTCCAGATTTATTTGTAATTCCTTCAAAATATAGGCACATAAGCTTCAAAGTCTTTGCATCTTCTGGAAAATTTATCTTTAAGTACTTCAACGTAGGTTGAATTACATTAGCGAACTACGTTAGAAAAATAATTATAACTAAACATTTTCTCTTATTTAAAAATCACTCAATATTTGCGATTTTCCTGATTACTTTATAAAGTGCAATTCAGAACCCCATCGCGTGCCAAGCCTGGCACGCGTGCCGTAAGTTGCCGATGCCTGATATATATCATGGTCTTATAGAACTTACTGAAATATCATGGCCTTACGACAAGTAGTTTAATTTTAAGAATTAATCAAAGATTAAGAAAATGAGTAGTTTTTTTGACCTTTGTTAAAATTAAAATTAGACGATTTACTTGGTATAACGATAGAGTACTTGGTTTTAATGAACATAGTAAACAATTAAAGTCATATGGAAACTGGTTCAATTATAAAAACTGGTGATTTTTTTAAAATTTGCTATTAGAAAATACTCCGTGTCAAAGTGTTCGTTCGTTTTCAATCATGTGTAATAAATCCACTCGGAATACTTCTAATCACTCATAAATTAAATTATTTTTTATTGAATAAGTCGATTAATTACACATATCGGAAAATTCATGTAACTAGCCTGAAGGCTAAATACCAAACCAACTAGTCAAAAATTTGCTTTTAGAAAATACTCCGAGTTAACGTGTTCGTTCGTTTTCTATTATGTGTAATTAATCCACTCAGAATACTTTTATCACAAATTAATTTATTTTTTATTGATTAAGTCGATTTTTACACATATCGGAAAGTTCATGTAACTTGCCTCAAGGCAAAATACTAACACCAACTAGTTTTATAACGGATATCCAAATATGAATATAATACAATTTTAATTTTTAGAATTTCGAAAACAAATAGACTCATAAAACTAAAAAGAAAATATTATGTTACTGTCATTTATTTATTGTTATTTGTCATTTGTGATTGAAATAGAAATCATGTGACAGTAGGTAATCCCATCTTTGTTTGTCACTTTGTTTATTGGATGCGTTCATCAAGATGAGACAAATTTCCGCTAAATATAATTAACCCTCGTACGCGTGGTACACATATGTACCATCAAGTTCTAAAATATCTAGACAGTTGAATTTATGTATGAAAGCAATGCAATTCGTGTAACGACGTGATGTAACTGTTTAATTGTGATGTAAAACATATGGCACATAAAACAGAACCACTCGCGTTTTGTTTTTTGTCCACCCAGACCACATTGCAAAGATTGTACTATTTTCAATAAAATATATAAACTATTTGCGTTTTACGGTGATTGTTTGTTATTACAGTGGACAAGAAATACAACTATGTTTCACACATTTTGTAATTATTACTAAATTAGATTGGTGGTACACATATATGCCAGTAAAAAAAATATTGTTTTTATAGAACGGTTGGTCCAAACGTGTACCAACAAAAAGTACGCACGGTACAACGGTTACCCACCCTCACCAGCTGCTCTCATTATTTAAAATTATTTTTTTGATTTTGGTTTCACCATATATCACACATTAAAAATACTACACAAACCGATTTTTGAATACCATCCCGAAAGTGTTAAAGATGCAATTTTCCTGATTTGCAAATTGAATAGATATTTGGATTGTAGTTATGAGAATTGAAATTTTTGACAGAATGTAAAATACGCCATCACTTAAATTTAAATTTAATGTTTTTTGTAGAAATCTGATGATGAATCGGGGATGAGTTCGAGACATATAATTATCATCATGGTAATATTTTCACTGATCTTGTGTGGGATGTGCAGTGTCTTTTTATTTAAATGCATTCGAAAATTAATACAAGATCATAAAACAATAAAGGTACGTAAACAACTTCTGTTAATCCAATTATATATTCAAAACGTATATATATATATATATATATATATATATATATATATATATATATATATATTATTGTGTAATAATGCAATTCGTGCGGTTTTGATAAATAATCGTAGTACATGGCCAGAGCGCGAATGCGGAAGTGCACATATGTCACGTCCTATACCTAATAAATAGAATAGAAATCGTCCATCGAATTTAGTGAGTCTTAAGAGAGAGTATGTCTTAACACGAACTTATGTTCGTTGATGAGTTAAAAGTGTAATTGGAGATTTAAAAAAGTGACAGTCAACTTAATTCAGTGTTTCAATCAGATTTTGCGTAGAGAACTCTTTCAGCCTATACCGGAATAATGTGTTCACGGTTCCGAGGAGTTTACTACCAGTGCTTATTATATTATATTACAACTTACTGCTCTGCCCATGACACCAGGCCAGGAGTTGAGATGGTTCTACACACTATTAAAAGGTTGGACCAAGAAAGCTACAACTGGCTTTACTATCTGTAACTTACTAGAAACGGCGTGGACCAAGGAGTGGACAATCTGTATCCTGGAGACAGTGTGGAACAACCCCAGCAACTATCTTATTTCATTTCATGGTGTCAAGCGGTGGTTTTTCCTTGTGGTGAAGTGCAGTGTTGAGTGTGCTGTGAGTGTCGAGTGAAGCTGAGTAACAGAAATTTTGCATCAGGCGCTGCAGCAACAGCTGAGAACCAGCAGGATCAGGACTGGCACGAGGTACCAAAGACATTAAATGTGGCGCCATACCAAATAGCACCGTGAGAAAGGCTACTCTACGCAGATCGACGCAGACTTCTCGATTAAGGCTCCCTCTCCAAGTAAGGAAAACCAATCCTTCTTTTGGCAACAACTGCACATCCAGACCAGAACATCATAGTCGTCAATTTTTTTTTAAGATTTTGTTTGTCAATTAGAATATAAATAATAATATTTTGTCAATTTGAATATTTTTTTTAAGTGTTAGGATTTTGATTGTCAACAAGAACAGGAACGGTACTTGGGTAACATTTCTGTAACAACGAGCAGTCGACTATTATTCACACCATTATTATTTTGTTGACTTCACATATCCGTCAAGGTTAAGTTCAAGCAAATATTGTTAACTAAACACTTTTCAACAAAAACAATCACGAGAATTGTCAGGTCCGAGTTTCATAACAGAAATATGTTTAGAAATATGACAAAGTAAAATAATTGTAAAGATTAGTAACAAAGTCATCAAGTAATAATATAGAAGACGCAGAAAATAATATTGAAAAGTTAGTGGTTCCAGTTAATGACTATGAGTATCCTATCAAGAGTAAATTTACATCTGCTGATCTTTTCATAACGTCGCGAATTTTAATGTGGCTTTAAATGCCAGTATAAGGGCAAAATGCTTAAAGGATTTAGTGTAGTCATTGTGCCACTCTTCAGGCGATAGCGCCAATCCTTCATTTCAGATAGCCTAATATTAAATTGTTCAATGAAACAATAGGTATCTAACAAATAATTAATTAATCAGGGTAGGAAAAACCCGAATGGAGACTCGTAGGGTTAGTGAAAACCTCGAGATCTTAAATATATTTGACATAATGAAGGTATTTTGATGACTTATATGAGACCTATGCATCCGCTGGAATGAATCAATAAAATCTTTCAAATAAATTTAATTTCGTTATTTTTATTTTTAGGACCAAAACACGCTCGTTGATTGTATCGTTAATATTAACTATTGCATGAGAATAAATTTCAACTATAATAGTAATGTTATATATAGAAATATTTTTAAAATTTTATATAAGAATGAAATTTTAATCTTGAATATTACATAAAATGAACTTTGAAGTTTTGTGAGACAATAATTGTACTTCAAAATGCAAATTTTAATAATAATTGAATTCAATCAACTGCCGACAACACAAAATGTTACAAAAAAGAAGGGGAAAATTATAATTTAAATTAATGTCAATAATAGCAATATAACTATCCCCATAGAATAGAATTATAAATTGAAAAAAAAAAATTGGAAAATAGAAAAAGTCCATGTTTGAATTATTGATACAAAATTATTTCATTTTAAATTAAATTCAATTTATTGGCGTTATATTGAACGTAAAATATTTCCAAAATTTTCTCTATAAGTATAATAAATTTTATTTTGAAAATTAGTAAGCATCTGAGTAAATTTGGTTCTATTATAGTTGAAGGCGCCCGACGCAATGTTTATTAAAAAAAGTAAATTAAACAATCACTACACATGGACACTTTACTACCTCGAAGGACCATATATAATTTAATATTAGAATGGCTATATCAGACCTTTAAAAATAAGTAAGTTAAGTAATTTGGTTTAGTTATTAATAGTATTTATTTGTGTGATGTTCACGGTTCAAGTTATGCGTACAGAATGAGTCATTTCTTATAACTAGCTAAGTACCTACAGTAGGGTAGGAAATTATTTTATTATGTCAGGTAGAGAGAGATGGATTGATAAAATTTGTGAGGCTCGAACATGCCGCCACGTTTGAAAAAACAATGGGAAATTAATTTACATGATTTTTCAACATTGCTTCATATAGTTATGGTGTTATAGAAAAGTTACAATAAAAATGTATAAAGATTAATTAGTTATGATAATATGTAATAATGATTGATTTTATTATCACTTAAATTCTAGTAATGATTAAAGTCTTGTGTAAACACAGTTTATGAATTCACTATTGTTTTTAATGTCTATTGGTAACATTCACAGGTTTAGTGTTTAAAGTCTCAAGTTAAAATAGTTCATGCATTGATTTGTATGATATGGTATATATCACTGTTAATTGTTAGTACACAAAGTTTTGTTGTTCAAATTCACCACACTATTGTTTGTTTTATTGGTCACAACACCCACAGTACATTCCTTCACCTGAATATGCTGCTGAAACGCGTCTCAAGTGCCAGTTCCAAATGTTGATCCCTGCAGTCGTGGATTCCGGAATAGTTTCTTGACAGGTATTTTAAGCAATAGTGGGTTAGGTATGGAGGATAAAAATTTTCAATTGGAAAGTGAATGATTGTTAAGGATTAGTAATTAGGATTGGAATCAAAGGAGATTCTGGTTTAGAATTTTGTCAATCCGCGTTAAAATGTGTTTAAGTTAATTTATTGATAAGAATGTTTGTATGTTAAGTAAGTGTTTTTGATATCTCATTTTAATGTGCTTTATGAGATTTAATAGATAAATAGATAATAAATCGATAGTTTCGAAATGAAGGGTCTTTGATATGATATATCTTATTAAAAGTTTAATTGCTAAATTATTTGTTGCCCTTATGTTAATTGATTTATGCTGTAGTATCACATGAATTTGTTTTAGGTTTGATGCTGCGTCAACAAAATTTGAACTGTTTTCTGAATATATTTTTGTAAATTTTGCAACTTTGCGCAATGAACCACTTTTGTGTAGCCACAAAGTATTTCGCAGTCAAATAAAAAGTCTGTTCAATATGAAGAGCTTTAGTGATACAACAATCAATCAAGATAATAAAAGTATTATTTAAAACAAGTTTAATAGTTTCACATTCCATTTTTGTTATTGGAATTTTAAAAGTTAAAAAGTTGTTTGTATTGAAAGACGTTCGTAACCACAATGGAAATCGTAAGTTTAGATTAACTGCAGTATTAGAAGTCAAAATGTTCATATCAAAATTTGTTTATATTTCGTCTACTCTATCAGTTACAGTCTACTCTATCAGCCTTTCCGCTTGTATGATAGAGATTTTATAAGAAATAAAGTAACCGTATAGTTATTCAAATACAATTTTTTATTATATGTAAAGTTTAATGCGCGTTTTTCTTTTGGTATAAGATTTGCTAAAAATTCAAGTCGTTGAAGTGTTAATTTTTTTAAAGCCATTACTTTAGGTTTCGATGTAGTTAAATATATTTTAGTATTAGAATTTTTCCCGGTACAGCATAAATAGGTAAAAGTTCTGTATGCCCATTTTGTCGCGTCAAAAAATTCGTGTGGTAATTGTTGAGTTATTAATAATTTATAACATATTGGAGCTGTAGCTTCCGAAATAAGTATTTTAATAATAGTTTTATTTATAGCGTTATTAGCTAAAACTATCTTATTGAATCTAAAACTATCTAGTATATTACAAAATATATCTAAAGTTTTAGCAGTTAGTTTGTCAAAATAAATATAAGGTTTTCCTAAAAGTTTAAAATGATTAGTTTTGAAATCATATAGATTTAATTTGTCATTCGCTAAAAGTTTTGTTAAATTTTGTTTAGTTGTTAGTAATGAAAGTATTTCATTTGCCGCGGTAATCATGTAATATTCTTTAGATAATTTATCGTTTGATCGTAAGTGGTATTCAAAACATTTAAATTTCTTCAACATAATATGTTTATTACGTGCCAGATTTTTATTGTTGGCAAAAGAAATTTTTATACCGAATCAACAGGTAATTCTCGTAGTATTAAGGGTGAGATTTTGTTTTCCGGCTAGTACCTGGTTTTCCAGGTTTGAGGTAGAATTATAAAGTGTAAAAGTCTCGGGATGCGTGTTCCCGTTTAAGCCGAATTGAGTAATATGCGAATCAGGTTTATTGTTACCTAATTGTATGTTTTTATTGTAAAAGGTGTCGTTGTCGATTACAAAATTTGCTTTATTACTCTTCTTACATGTTGAGTATGGTAATTTTTCAAATTTATGGAGTTTTTAAAATGTTTGCGTTAAAAGAATTTGTCGGAATGTTATACGTAGTTTTATTATTTTCGTTTCGTGTTTCTGATAATTCCGCCGCGAAGGAACAGTTTTTGCCGATACAGGTAAAGATTCAGTTATGCCCCCTGCATCGGGTTTAGGGTAATTAAAATTTTGGAAATGATTGATATTTTGATCAAACTCAGGAAATTTGATCGAAATTGGAGGTTAATTTATATTGTTTGACGATTTGATTGTTTGATCACTAAAGCT